AAAGTGATTGGGAACTTTTCTAAAATGGCGGCGCAACTACCGCTTGGTTGCTTTGACGTAATAAAGAACGTAATAGGAGAGGCTCGATGATGAGCGGATGAAACTTATGACCACTTTGAAGATGTGGAGTGGGCTGAGGATGATGGGGTGTTACAGCTGCCTTCGTTCATTTCCCCTTTGATCCAGTCAATAATTTCTTGTTCCGCTGTCAAAGTAAGCCACCATGTTGTCGCCAGTTTTAGGGAAGGAAACCCCTAACTCTATCCTTAGCCCTTGGATCCCCTTTACGATCAATGACCCCTTTACGATGATTAGGGTCAGGTACCCGGTTAGTGGCTAATAGCCATTGGATCGCCTTTACGATCAGTCATCACTTTACGATTATTAGGGTTAGGTAGATCTACCCGTTTAGTAGCTATTTTAGATTCTATAGTGGTTCCTAATAGTATTCACAGAAAAAAAACGTTGAGTAAAATTAATGAAATGGTTTTGTGTCAGATATTTTGGCTACTGGAAACTGTCCTGGAACATTCACACAAGCCACCTTCACCGGCTACATTTTGTCAGTACTGATTCAAAAGCAAACTCACCGTTGTGTCGTCACTAGCCATGCACATGCCTCCCTCGTTTCTTACTTTTATCCACATCATCCTTTTATTATCCCCTACCACACTTTTCTGTCAAAAAGTCCACCTGACGAATTATTAGATACCATGTCATTCATACATACACTACTGCCTAGAAGTTCATGGGCAACGCGTTACTCAACCAGTGTGCATCGGGTTGGTCACGCGTGTGATACCCGTGTGCAACGCGTTGCACACGGGTGTGCACCCTGTCCGCCACTCGTGTGCAACGCGTGACACACTCATTAGAGGGGGAACAAACTTTTGACCAAAGGAGGACCCGTGTTAAGCAGAACCTGGAGGTGGTAACAAGGAGAGAAAATTTTGTTATTCTGACGAAAAATGATAATACACATGTATTTGCTAATGTCTCCTTTCTTTATGTGATTTTGTGGGAATAACATGAATACTGTTGTGATTAAGTTGATCTGTCTTGTTTTTTACGACCATTGCTTCTAAATCCGATGGTGTTAAGAGAATACATGGTCCTGGAACATATTATTGCAATTGAAATGCTTAATATGTATGAGGTTTGGCGGCGCATTGTTTTTATTGGACCCTAATTACTTTATGATGACTTGGACTCTTTATCTCAGCTCCATAGCCGTGAGCCTGGACAAGAGCAGCAATTAATGAGGGTGGGTTATATCATTGAGGATACACTTGAGGGAGAGAATACTAATTACCGTACTACAGGAAGAAACCTGTAGACGTAAGCGCGGGGTTGTGTTTTAGCTGGCCGTTCGATAATGGCCGCCAGGAGAAGTGAGCTTTGACTGCGTCATCTAAAATAAATAATAAGATCAGCAGTGTTATTTTTACGGGTCTGTTGAATAAACTCCCAGCTCTACGGTCAATGTCTCTTCTACTTAATCCTTGATACATCAATTTGGCATTCACAATATATAGTATTTCAACGTACAAAGGAGCATTGATCTAAAGCAATTCCGCGGGAGTAGTTGTTACCTGTGCATTACTGTATTTTCCCAGTGAGTACCCGGATGATATAGCAGAAATCTAGGCTTGTTCGCGACCTGTGCTCGCCATTCGTAAGCGCATTTTTATTGATATTAGAAGGACGTATTGTCACATTGATCAACAAAAATGAAATACAGTTTTGGAAATGTAGGTATATTTGTGGGGAACATCGGTAATGGTGATGCAGTTTTGATAAGTCACTTGCTTGGTAATTGTGCGATCTTTGTGTACACTATTTTGACTTGCAACACAAAGTTAAAATTTCATCTGAACATTGCTTATTTTACCGTGTGTATATCAAAATGTAAACAGATTTCACTAAGGAAATTTATTAAACGCCTAAATATTCAGTTTATTTTACAAATTAACTGAAAAATATGTCCATCTTTATTAATATGATAACGAATTCCAAATATTTGTTTATGTTTAATATCATCACCAAGTACAGTTCTGTATTGTTTGGCTTCTTTTCTTAGCATAATTAATATGTTGTGATGTGTTTAAGCTCTTTTGATCGTCTTTATCATTTTTAGTCAGTCGGTTAAATAAATGAATGGATTATTCAGTCAAGTTGTAAAAAGACTGAAATATTTAGATATTTAATAAATTGCCTGAGTGAATCATATTTTACACCTTGACTGTAACATATACATGCTTACAAAAGAAATACTTGTGAAAACAACGTCTATCGCGCAGCGAAAAACTTCCCAACCAAACGGAAAGGAACAAGAATGATTCTGTTCAAAGCTGCAGAGAATGAATGAAAACAAAATGCAAATATCATTATTACAACCTACCAAAGTTATAATGTATCCGGGGATATCAACATAACGGAACAATATCCATTGCGTCTGCAGCTGTACAAAAATACTTATTCGATGTCAAATGTCTATGTGAGAATCAAATACTTTAATAATAATTATTTAGAAACCATTTTTGAAATATATATGAAATATATTAAAATATTTAAATATATCGTTTTTAAACGTTATTTAAATGTATCGAATATTATAACCCGTGTTTGTTTCTTAACTGATCACTTAGGTTGTTTCAAATGTTTCACATAGGTGCCAAGTTAGCTGAGAAAGCCCACGTGACAACTATTTTTATAATGTCCACGGTTCTTAAAAACATACATTGAGTTAGATAACAATGAACAACCAGTCAGTGTATTATCGGTTACCCTTTGAACAAAGTATGTTGTTTTTACATCTGTACTTCACGCCATGATATGAGTGTATTCCCTAGGTTTAGTAAACCTTCCTTCACATGCAAAAACTTACTTTTGACATATCCACTGTGCAAGATAACAGTTATTAATCAATCAACGTATTTCCTGTTGATCCTTTGATGTCTGGGAATGATCAGTTGATTTACAAAAAAGTAAAGCAACTGATCATACATCTCTTGCCGGGCTGCCACGTGCATATCACATAACTCACATTCCACCTCACTTCAAACCTGGATTAAGATTGAATAATTACCCCAGGTACAAGAAAGACCAAATTTGAACCTTTATCGGGTAATCTGAGTGGTGCTACAACTAAGTATACATGTTATAAATTCATTAACTGAGCAGCAAGTGAATTATGACAGATACACAAGTGTAGGGTTATACCAGAAAATGTGGATGACAACAAGGGAGTAGTAATTGTATCATCCACGCAATCCGAAATCCGCAAATGCTTTCACTCAGGGATGCTTTTTATTTATTAAACTGTAACCATCAGGTTTTTTTTCCAAATAACGACATCCGATGAGCTTTCACCATTATTTGTCTGTTTGTTTAGGCTGAAGAAATTTTATTGCAAATTGTATTAGTATCCACGTATCCTATTTTTATTATTTTTGTTAAATTGTACATAATAAAAATTGTAGATAATTGTATGTCATGTTTTTCTAAGAATAAATGAGTTTGAGTTTTTGTCCGACACCCGAGAAGAAGCCAGAGATTAGTGCCCCTTTTTTAATAGTTTACAATCATGTGTTTTAGGGTTAGCTGTGTTGGCTTAAACGTATTTTTATTTCAAAAGAAATCTGGATCGGTAAACAAGCAAAACTTGCTCATGTAATACCTCTCCAGGAAACAACTTAACAACAGCTGGATATATATAAGAGAGTGATGAACATAAACATACAAAATGCACAAATGAAATACACAAAGCCAATACACTGAAGCAAGTGGTGTCTGTGAAATAAGGTAATGCAGTTTTCTTTTACTACATGCATAAAATGAAGCTACTCAAACCTTTTGCTTTTGACAATGATGTCGTGAACTGATTTAAGAAGAGTCATGTTTGTAGAACTGCTCAACTACTGCCATGTAATATCATTTTTAGACCATACCCTTGCGTGTAGAAATACAGTGTTTCTGATATTATCGTATTATCGTATAGTTATAGAAAAAGTGAATTGCATCTTCAAGGTGATATCCAAAAGTGCAGTCTGGTATTTCTGATACATGTCGTCTAAACTTATCAGCGTTTAAGTCACTGCAGCCGAGCCTAAGGCGACAGTGGACAATTTAGCATGATCTATGAAAATATTTGAGGTCAAAATTATTAATAATTGCATCAGAACGATTAATTAAGGATTTGATTTCTTTTAATGAGCCAGCATTAGTTACTTCATCGGATAGAGGGTTCCGCAGGTTGATCATATGCAGAAGAAATGATTAAGCATAGGTCTGTGTTCTACATTTGATTGTTTGTATGTTGAATCTATTTCTAAGGGTATATTTGCTGTTATCAGAGAATTGAATATTCACTTTTCAAATATTTTGGCTAAGCAACTTGTGAGGGCTACAGGTCTATAATTTGAGCATTCATGTTCATCGCTGACACTGACACCGCATCAGCCCGGCAGTGGACTTCACACAGTTATTTGCGCACCGATTATATAACTCCTACAGACAGGGTGGGGTGGTTGTTCAAAAGCGAAACGGACGACCCCGTCTGTTATCTAATAAATACTGTGCGGCGCCTTTGATCTTGCCTCCAACCATACACCTTTTAGTAGTAAACGACGATCAGGATGGCCTGGAAATAAACACAATTCTGTCTGCCCAGTGTATCCACAATTAACTGGAATGCTTCATATCCACAAATATATATAGAAAATAGATATTTGCCCACAGCAAATATTAATTTGCTTAATTGCATCAGTGTGGTTTATCAGAACATGTACAATGCTTTCTTACGCTTTGTGAGGCAGACTGAAATTGAACATTAGGATAACGTCAGCAGGGATAAAATAGGTCAAACCAAAGAACTTTATTTACTAGTGGAAAAGTCAGACATTCCGATCAACCACTACAAGGCCCGGCCGGATCTCAAGGTTGACCAGATCAACACCCCAAACGAACATTACTACGCCAAACAAGGAGTCTCTTTCGTCATGGTGCACAAGAAGGGGGGACAGGACATCGAGTACTACGTCACAAACTACACAGACTTGTACCACTTCTTCCAGAGTGGTGGCATACCGACCTCAAACCACTTCGTCGCCAATACCGCCGCCCTCCTTGCCAAGAGTCTCTACCAGAATCCCGACCCGCAGAATGAGAAGCTGACCAAGAGACTACTACAAGGATACCGCGGCTCGATTTCTAGCCACACACGCTCGCAAGCCGACGCCGTACCTTCCCACACTTGTCCCCACAAACTGTGGACTTTTAAGACATTTTCGCTTATTGTAATAACATCTACCTTAAAAATCATGCCTATCTCTGAAATCCACAAGCATAGTTGCTGTCAAACCTGAAAAAAACATATTCAGGGAGGTCAGTTTTGACTTGCCAGGCACCTTAAGGTGAGTTTATTTTTAAACTGTCAAAAGCGATTGTCCCTTCAATACTAGTATATGGCTGGAAGCTGTCTCTCGGACTGTTATGAGTTATGATTTATTTTATGATATTACTGGGGAATGTTCAAATTAGTTCTAACTGTCAACTGTCTCAACAGGACCATAGGTTTGGTTATATATCTCCTCCCTGTCTCTATGTCTTAAGTTGTTAATCGGTAACTGCGGTCCAAATGTATCAACTTACTCATCTATTGTTGCAAACTTGGCAGATTTAAACATATCTAATTGATCATGAACTACTCAGTCAGTCAAGCACCTGTATCAGAAATGTATAACCAGCCATGTTTCATGTAGTCCCAATATCACTGAAAAATGCTGATGTAACGTAACATATAAATTTACCCACAGACAATATATTTTTCGTGAGAATGTAGCACAATTTTATTAAAGTTTTATTAACAATTTTATAAACTATAATAATATTAATATTAAAATTCATCATCACTTGCCAAGTTTATGAAAATGTCCCCATTTGGGAGATGACACATATAAACAAGGATTAGAACTAAGTTTGATCGTCTTTGACACTGAGGTTTATCCCCACTCTGCAAAAGATTAACAGTGAGTGAGTGAGCATCGTTTCTATGTTTATACAAGAAAATATGTCATGCCAAAAACGCTCACAGTAGTTAGTGAGTAAACTCACGACCTGTCATGACCTGGTTGAGTGACTTCCTCCAATGAACGTGAAAGGATTACCCACAGAGAAAGAAAGGATTAAAGTCACCCATAAATCTTATCCTAACGTAGTACTCAAACTTCTAAATGCCTCTCAAAGAAGGATTAAAATCCTAAATATATCCTATCTACGTGGTATAGGAACTCACAACCTCTAATAATAAACTGTTACGTTTGGTATCCCCAGCAATACTCACTATGGTCATTGGGCAAATGTCAAAATCACAAACCCTAACGAGATTCTGTCTACATTGTCACACCCGGTGATTGTGAAGATATCAAATTATATCAACAGTCAGACAGCATGGCTGTTCATATTCATTTACAACATCCTCTTATACTTAGTATAAAAGTGTCCCACACAAAACCTTCTTTTATTTATTCTTTCAAAATACAAAACATTCCTTAATGGCGAACATTTAACAACCCGCGACAATCGTGTCAACACGGGAGTTCCCCTAGCAATAAACTCGCATCTAAATTCACTACTGTTCTACTGTCTGCTAGCCACAATGGCTAGACTGGACCCTAGTGGAATGGTTCATGCCATAAAAGTCTAGCAACCGAACACTTAATAAGACGGGCCGACCTTGTATTTACGGTCTGGTGAACACAGCTCATTAACTCAAATTTCACATCTCACTGTTTTGTTTTATCTCACTATTCATTTGATAAATTTGTCAACTTCAACTGGAACCCGTTCCCGTGTTACACGCGTGGCACATGCGTGTGCAACGGGTTGCACACGCGCTGCACACCCGTTGCACACCCGTGTCCAACGGGTGCTCACCCCGTGTGCAACCCGTTGAGCACCCGTGTCACATGCGTGTTACACGCGTTCTCAACGCGTGTTAGGGGAATGAACTTTTAGGCAGTAGTGTACTCCCGAGTTCGACGTCTGACGTCTGGAGCCATATTGGATCATCTTTTAGATTATGGAATGGGACGAGTGTGCCAAATGGCATCGGGATCATATGTAAGTGTCAGTAGACTGAAGTCACTATCCACCATGCCTAACATTAACCTTTGTATGTGTCCGTCACCTATTCGACCATTTTCGTTCAGTTCCGTAACGTTGTAGGCATGAGTAGGTAAAATTGCACTTACTTTCACAGTGTGAACGTACATGTAGCTCAATCTGTTAGTTGACACGCGAGTTCGCGTCCGACGGATTCTTACAAAAAACTGGTTGCTTGTTTTTGAGACATGTGACCTACGGCAGATATCGTCCTTACGAGATGTTGTGGTACTGTATTCTAAAGTTGGATAGACAGAAATGCCAGGCAAATAAATACTGAAAGAGTGTATAACGAGCCGAGACACCCCCAGGGATCAGACCAGCTCGGAGGACGTACCCTACAACATGCATGTAACATACAGGTACTGCAGTATAATTATTTATTAGACGTAATGATGGGTGAATTTGTTAGAGACTAATGACACTGGGACATCCTGACTATGTTTCATATTACTTCCTTCTGAATTCATGGGGATCACTGATTCTGCAGCATCATCAACTGAGGAACCTTGAGGCACACGGAAAGAATAACGACACAGAAAATAATAACACTATTTACTTCAACGTATGTGCATGCTTCTGGTAACAGTTGCGGTGCTTTCATCACTGCATGGAGTTATTTCCATGATGTTCTACGTAACATAAGCTGTGTTGCAGCCTCCAGTGACCCGATCAAGATGAAGGCACTGAAACCTGGGGTGACACCAGAGTCTGACCACTGGTGATAGTGTCAGTGTGCACATTGGATAGTTTGTCAAGTCACCAGATGTATCAGCAAGCTCTGTCCTTATAAGAAAATATCCCTTCGTCTGGAACATATTTCTTAAATTTACCACAGAGTGGTTAATTGTATATGTATACGGGAATGTGTCAACACATAATTAGAGTTTCAGTCAAGTCTAACCACCCTGTTTGTCTCCACAGCCACGAGCAGAGAGGAGGAAACACGGAAGTCTCGGATCCCTCTAGAACCTGACACACGAGGTGGGTGGAGACAATGTCACGTGTATTGTAGTGGGCAAACCACCCTCCAGACATACACACAACTGTGTTAGAACTGTAAGACCTGACACACGAGGTGGGTGGAGACAATGTCACAAGTGTGTTAGAACTGTAAGAATATGACATGTGTACATAGTTTACTTTGTGTTTCAGCGACACCGACTCCTGCAAGTACAGACCCCCGAGCAGACAGCGACCTCCGTGATGCCAGCAAGCGGGGAAACGTGGCGGCTGTGAAGCGCATCCTGGCAGCAGGACGGGCTGACGTCAACAGTAAAGACTTGAATGGGTGGACACCGGTGCTGTGGGCAGCAAGGTGGGGGCACGGAGAAGTCGTGGAGCTCCTGATGAGGAAAGGAGCTGATGTGCCAGTGTTGACCTTTAACGATAACAACATCCTTCACGTCGAATGTATGGGTAGTGATGTGGAGACGGTGAAGTATGTGCTGTCACTGAACGTGGTGGACATCAACGCCAGGAACAAGCAGGGGCAGACCGCGTTCTTCTGGGCGAGAAACTTTCGACATCGGCGAGTGGAGAGTCTGCTTATGTCCATCGGCGCTCATTGACATCAGTGTAGTGTTTGTGTAGACTGTGGAGGAGACAGTGACGTGGTGTGCCGTTCACGTTGTCTTGTTATATATTTCCGGACTAGGTGAGAATGTTTGTAGTGTTTGAATAGAAATAAAACTTTGTGAAAATATTTTGAGATATTTTGTCATCTGTTTTGTTCGGAACTCCGCACGATCAGGTGAGAAAATTGTTAACTGAGTGTAAATAGAGATGATGCGTCATTATAAGGTGAACACTGCATCTCGTAATATATAAATTTGTCTGTCTTAATAATGATGTGTCAAGAGTTTGTAACCAATCGTGAAACAGACAAGAATCTGTTTGTTTACATCTCGCTGCACTCTGTGACCTCACACTAAGCCGAGGTTCGTCGAGCTGCATTGGCAGCAAATGTACAAGGAATGCCGCCAAGACCAATTCTAACCCTGAATCATCACCTGGACTATTACAGTTTTAAGCTTGGTTGACTCGTGCAAATCCGTGGCATGGTTTTAACACACCATCTATGTTTGTTTGTTGTTTAACGTCACAATCAGCAAATTCCCAGCCGTATGACGGCGGTCTGTACATAACCAGACAATCCAGTGGTTATGAGCATCTATCTACTCAATTGGGAAAATTCGATTTATTTTCTCGTTACTTTGATTATACTTTCGTAATTTCGACTTTATTCTCGTTATTTCAATTATATTCTCGAAACTTCTACTTTTAATTTGAGAGAAAATATTCAAAATTATGATAAAACATTACGATGTTACAAGAAAAAACTCTAAGCAATTACTTAATAATGAGTTGAAATTCGAAATTTCAAGTTTTTAGAATAAATTTAAAACAAAAATGGAAATTACGATAGAAACAAACTCAATTATTTAAACAACAAGAAAATTACTGAAATTACGAAAATATAATCGAAGTAACGAGAAAAAGGCCGAAATGTCGAGAAAATAAACACATAATTGGAACAAGGAGAAATTGTGGTTTAAAAATATAGATATTCTACCACAGTGGGTTTTGTAAAAAGTGAATTGTGCGAGGATTGCACTCACACCACAGGGGCTTATAAGGCAAACATTAGCAGCAAGAGCAATAACGGAGTCATAGTGTAATAGTACTGATCCTGTTAGTGACGGTATATACATCTTGCTTGTGAGTTTTGCGTTACAATCCCTTGTGCCTCGCACTGCACGTACTTGGTCTACCCCCGACAATATCCTTGCGCAGGGATGTAGATTATTACATTTCCTGATTGTGTGAATTTAACAGTCCAATACTGCCTAAAATGTGAACGACAGAAATATTGATCAAATAGAATGGTATGCTTATTGAGCCAATGTATGCAACGAATAGACGAGTGGATCTCTCAAACTATGAGAAAGTGCTACAGTGTAAAATCTGAAGTTTGCTTTGTTTACATTTCAAACCATTGCAGTTTTCTGAGCACAGCCTGTATTTCGCTTGATTTTTAGGTGACAAAGACCATTTGTCATATCACACTAAAATGTAAACTGGGCAGCAAAAGAAAGTATAGGTCGAGTTCCATGATGGATTAAAAAATAACAAGAAGAGGTTTTGTTATGAATTATTATATAAGCTAGGGACGGGAAACAGATGATTGATCAACCACAGTTTGAATAAAAGTGTGCAATCACAGGTAATGTAAGCTCAAGGTAAACAACGGTGGGGTAAGAAATTTCATTTTCAAAAGTTGTCTGAAATGTCACCAAAAAATTGTCAGACAAACTACAAGTACATTGTCGACACAGTTGCCTTCAAAAGCGTGTATGACCTCCAACTGCCTCAATGCATGCTGTGGAAGCCGCCTCATCGATGACATCAGTCTTCTGATGACATGGCCTGGGATCCGTTGCCATTCGTCTCTCAGGGCCTGTTGCAATTCTTGTCTGTTGACGGGAGGCTAATGGCGTGGCAATCTGTCCGTCCAGATGGACCCACAGATACTCAATAGGATTCACATCTGATGAGTGGGCAGGCCAGGGCAAACCGTCAACGTTCTGCTGGTTTAGAAAGTTCCGACTCAGTCTTGCAGTATGGAGCCTGGCATTGTCGTGATGAAACAATGTCCCCTGTTGTTGGTTTTGTAAGAACGGAAGCACAACTGGCTGCAACACTAGTATTGGGATTGCAAATACCGCCCCACACCATGACACCTCCCCCGCCAAATGGATGGACCTTCCGAATACACGCCGGAGCCAAACGTCCCCTCTGCGTCGATAAACGCGTTCTCAACCGTAATTCCAAAACAAGTTAAACTGACTTTCATCAGTAAACAGCACTCGACGCCAATTTCTCACTTGCGAGCGTCGAACCTGCCTCGCCAATTGCAGTCTCAGTCGTCGATGTTGAACAATCAGTACCAATCCTTGGAAAGGACGATACGCTCGGATTCCAGCAGCACAAAGTTGTCTTAGTACTGTACGTTGGCTGATAGGCTGTCCCAAACCTGTTTCAGCCGTCGCCTTCGCCGTTACGAATCAGTTTCGGAGGTAAATGAGCCGTATCTGACCGTCTTCCAGTGGTGTTGTCACTTGAGGTTGTCCAGTTCTATGCCTGTCTTGTGTCCTCCCTGTCTGCTGTACCGTTGGATCAGCCTTGCTACTGTCAATGGTGTACAACCAAACCTTCTGGCAATTTCCCTCCCTTTTCGGCCATACCGATGGCTCCTTCTCTCTGCTCCTGTGACAGTCGTTGCAATTCTGTTGTGTGCCTTCATCACGTGTGGTTATACCCTGCAGACGAACGCATTTATACAGCTAACATGCACGTGCTGTTTATGCCATAGGCGGGAAACCTGTTTCACCATTTTTTATCACCGCACAAAGTTCCAGTTGAAGTTGACAAATTTATCAAATGAATAGTGAGATTAAACAAAACAGTGAGATGCGAATTTAGAGTTAATGAGCGGCCATTGAGCTGTGTTCACCAGACCATGAATAAAAGGTCGACCCGTCTTAATTAGCGTTCGGTTGCTAGACTTTAATGGCATGAACCATTCCACGAGGGTCCAGTCTAGCGATTGTGGCAAGCTGACAGTAGACCAGGAGTGAATTGAGATGCGAGTTTATTGCTAGGGGAACCCCCGTGTTGACAAGATTGTCGCAGGTTGGTAAATATTGGCAAATGATTGTTTGTGGATTGCGAACATATTAATTTTGCCCACATGAGTCATTCCATTTGATTGCAAATATAACGTTTTTCGTTCCCCAAATTTATACTTTAGACATTACAATAATGATATAGCCGTCACCACTACTAATGTCTTATTATTTCACGTCCCATTTCCCCACACCCCACTTTCTGTTTTGTATTTTGGAAGAATTAATAAAAGAAAGTTTTGTGTGGGACACTTCTACACTAATTCTAAGAGGATGTTGGAAATGACTATGAACAGCCATGTGGTCTGACTGTTGAAGGAATTTGAGATCTTCACAATCACCGGGTACCATGTAGACAGAATCGCGTTAGGGTTTGTGATTTTTACATTTGCCCCCAAACCCCAACATTTTATTATTATAGGTTGTGAGTACCTATATCATGTAGATAGGATGTTTTTAGGATTTTAATCCTTCTTTGAGAGGCATTTGGAAGTTGGGGTACTACGTTAGGATAAGATTTATTAGTGATTTTAATCCTTTCTTTCTCTGTGGGTAATCCTTCACGTTGATGGGACGAAGTAACTCAACCAGGTCATGACAATGGTTATGCGCAAGGCTCGGGATCGCAAAAAGATCACCAGAGGTGTTGATGGAGGCTGGCCATGTAGCATACAGCATTCCCTGTGTTTGCAGGAACGGGAACCTCGTCTGTGTTTAAATCGGTACTTTCTGGATGCCGAGTTTTTTTTCTGACGCACATTTTCCTAAGATCAGAAAAGTGAAGTTTGCGCGAGAATTGCGCTCACACGGCACTGGATCTACCTCTGGCTATAAAATTACCCAGAGGTGGAGAATATGAAATTTCTTATTAAAAAGTGTAAATTTAACTGTAAATATCAAACCGGTTTTTAAAAAAGACACTCCTAAGTGTTGTCCGAGAATTTATTCTGCGTTGAAAAACAGTAAATTTCTCCGCTTTTTATCGTACACCGATAAAAGTACTGTGCGACATTTTTTTTTATTAAGAAGCTTTACGGAAACTGTGAGCGAACAAAATAATGCCTAATATCTGAACGACATAATAACATATCAAATGGAGTTATATGCGTATGTATAACGACATACATTCAATTCCAAAAATAGCATGCCGTAAATGACGAAAACTGATTTATCTCTATGACGTCAAAAGGTGACAGAGAGGTTACACACGTACAAAGAAAAGGGGGCATAACTCCGCTATGCTTAGCTCTAGTTTGTTGTAACTCAGGTCACTTGGTGAGAATTAACTGTGGGTAAGGACAATATATTTTCGTGGTGTTTTGTTCAGGAGGAACCAAACTATTCAAACACAAATATCAATATTGAAACTGTACATGTTTAGTTATAAAATATACCCATCAGAAATGATGAAATCGTACTTCATAAAAAGGAGGTAATAGAGAAATGGATGGCCTTATCTAACTTATAACTTTGTCCTTAGATTCCAACATTCTCCTGATTGTGTAAGTGTAATTTGACTAATGTTGCATCATTATTAATGGAGCACAAGCCTTATCACCAAATGTTATGAAATACCCTAAAAATAACACGATACCTTTTGACGTCATGGCTGGTTTTATGTCTTCGATAACGTCGGAAAAAGAGGACACTGGTATTTTGATTAATATATATCTCCCCTAATTTTCGTTCATGGTATGGAAAATCTCGATGTGTGAAACGGAATTTGACGCTTTTTCGACACAACATAAAACGACTGCTCTCACCAAGTAAATAATGTCTTGAATATGTAAACAATTAGAACGTTTATCATGTGTCTTAACTGGACAAGACACGCACCTGTTTGGCATCAATTTACGTAATGAAATTCCCAAAAGAATATTTCA